GTGGCGAATCCAGGCTAATTGATCATGAGACCAATTTGGGATTTTGCCCCCGTTGTGTGTGGTGTGTGTGTGAGTGTGAGAGAGAGAGAGAGAGAGAGAGAGAGAATATTTTACATATATGCATATATATTAAAATATTAAATATAAAAAATTATTTTTTACACATAAAATGTTTTTTTTATTGAAATAATCACGATTTTAAATGTGATATAACACAGTGTTCAAAAATTTTTTATTAAATTTTTAATTAAATTTTTAAAGAAAATTAACTTGAAATTTTTTACATTAAGAATTTAAAGGCTCCTTATTCTCTTGTAGAAATTTATCACTACACTTATAGCCCATTAATCACTTATTTTGAGATTTAAAATACTATAATAAAAATACGTAATTTAAGTATTCGAAATAAAGTATTTTAATTACTCGAATAAGTGATAAATTGGCGTACTAATAAAAATTTCTATAAGGTTGAATAAAGTATAGAGATAATAGGCTATATGTGAGCCTGTAAATGCGAAATTTGAGATGTTAAGACCATATTGAAATTTATTTTTCGATATAACTTTCAAAAATGTACACCGAGGTACAAAAAATTAGCTTGGACATTGTAGACTTAAAATTGGATAATTCTCAATTCTATTAATTAATTTCGATATAACACACCTTACATCCGCGCACGGCTCACTATATATAGCCATTGATTAGTGCAATTTTTAGTTCCTTATTTTCAAGTTCACCTTTTTACGTTATCAATATTTTTACGTTTTCAAGAAAATTTTAATATTTTTACTTACCGCAGTTTTCTTATCCAAATGTAAAATCTTTTATCGCAAGTCTATAAAATTGAAACAATTTACAATTTTTATGATAATAATATATTTATTATATCATACTAACTGTAATACATCATGTTAGTACATCATAATATGTTAATAAGTAGCAAAATTATCAAAAGAAGAACGATGATAGGTAACATACTACAAATTTATAGGGATACATATTATAATTTGGACATGCGTTGATCGGTAAATTTTTTATAATCGAAGCGCCGCCTACGGCGCGGTTTAATTTCTCTCGCATTTAACGATGAAAACTATCCGAGATCTAACAAAATCAGGGATTATAATCGAGGCGAAATTGTTGGATGTAAGGACGGATTGAAACACCGTTAATTACTCAAAACTTTATTCTGAATAACTTAATTAAATTTCGTATATTATGTGAAATTGTAAATTTATATTTCCAAATAATTATACTGAACAAACCGCGCACGGCTCGAAACGTTATTAGAAGATTGTAATTTGCGTTATTTAATATAATGACTTTACGTTTTCAAAATTTATACATTTTAAATGGTAGTTGACTTAACAAATCTCGAATATTCAGCTCTATAAATTGGCCTTATATTTACATTTTGTTTTCAATATTATTATTATTACAATTTCTATATATATGCACATCTGTCAAATATCGTGATTTATTTCACATTATTATTATCTATTTTAATAAAAAAAAAACAAAAACACTTGCAACAATCAAAAATAAACCGCCTGCCGCGAACGGAAAATGCCAAGAAAGCACGCAATTTCCGCGAATCTCGTAATTTTTTTGAAAAATCAACAATTTCAACGAAATTGTAAATTCTTCAAATCACTGCACAAGTATAATTCACAATAATAATTTTCAGTAACTACGATAAAAAATCGTATACTGAAAACCGCAAACGAAAGTGCAATGGGAGTAAGAGTAAAGTCTGTGATAAAATTAATTGGCAATAGAAAATTAATAATTTTCAAATAGAAAAATTTTGAAATTACCGAGGATTTACAAATAATAAAGTAAAAATATTAAATAATTTATGTTTTCGAATTTTGCTCGCGGAGAGGATCTTTAAAACAAGATTTTTAGAAGAGAGGACCTTTAAAATATAAACAGGCAAAAACGTTGGAAAAATTAAAGCGCGCGTTTAAACAGATAAACGCAATGAAATAAATACGCAATTGTTTTTACTTATCGCTGTAAGCTCACAAGCTTCTGACGTGCTATACACTTTTATATAATATATACAAGGTGTCCGGTAACTAACGGACCAATGATTAAGGGCGGATTCTCTGGCCAATTTGGAGACGATTTTTCCTTAGCAAAAATGTTGAGAAGTCAATAATTTTCGAGTTATAAGCGATTGAAAAAAATAGGTTTTTTGAAAACTAAACGTTTTGGAGTTAAAAGTCTAACATAATTACATTCTTCAGTTAATTTCAGGTAGAGTTTACTATAATAAAATTTTAATTTAAGGCTTAGTTATAAAGATACATAATGACAAAGATTGGAAAGTTGTAAAAAATGATGACCTTTTTCGACATTTTCGCTGAGGAAAAATCGTTCCCAAATTGACCAAAGAATCCATTTGTAATCATTGGTCTGTTAGTTACCGGACACCCTGTATATTGGACACGAGTTTCGTTTGTTTCAGATTCTCGAGAGTTGAAGTAGGAACATACGAGTATCATATATCGTTTGTGACTTGCCGAATGAAAGCAAGACAGAGAGCGAACGAGATGATGAGCTTAATAGCTCATAATGTTATAAATAAATAAATAAAAAATTATAACCTGACCTACTAGTTATTGAATCTTTTTTTAATAAAATGTTTCATTATTATTATCATCTAAGTCTAAGTCGTTTAATTACTTTTTAGTTTTTTAATAATTAATTTAATTTATTCTAGTCATTTTTATATGAGAAAAATAATATCACGTATACGTTTTATAATGAATTAATATATTTCGGGAATCGAATTATATATTCTTAATAATATAAAAGTGTTCAAAAATTATATTTGACTTTTAATTTTAATTATTTTATAGCAAAGAGTTCCGAAATCTCTTACACACATAATGGGGATTTTTTTCATCCATATAATTCGCAATTAAGTATATATGTTAATTATTAATTTTAATAAAATAAAAATTAAAATTAAAGGTCAAATATAATTTTTAAACACAAATATATTAAATTAATTATAAAACGTATACCCATGATAGTATTTTTCTCGTACAAAAATAATTAGAGTAAATTAAATTAATCATAAAAGATTAAAAATTAATTAAAGAATTTAAACTTATATTTTATATAATAATAATAAAACATTTTATTACGTCAAACCGTCGTGAAATAATTAAATAAAATTTGCTAGTTACGTCAAAGTTTTCTAAGCTTATAAAACATTTTATTAAAAAACAGATTCAATAAATATAAGTACATGTTTATATATATACTTATATTTATTGAATCTGTTTTTTTTATAAAATGTTTTATTATTATCATATAATATAAATTATTTAATTATTTTTTAATTTTTTATGAGTAATTTAATTTGTTCTAGTTATTTTTGTACGAGAAAAATACTATCACGGGTATACGTTTTATAACGAATTAAATATATTTATGTTCAAAAATTATATTTGACCTTTAATTTTAATTTTGTATTTTATTAAAATTAATAATTAACATATATACTTAATTGCGAATTATATGGATGAACAAAATCTCTATTATGTGTGTAAGAGATTTCGGAACTCTTTGCTAAAATAATTAAAATTAAAAGTCAAATATAATTTTTGAACACTTTTATATTATTAAAAATATATAATTCGACTCTCGAAATATATTAATTCATTATAAAACGTATACGTATTAGTATTTTTCACATATTAAAATGATTAGAATAAATTAAATTAATTATTAAAAAACTAAAATTAATTAAACGACTTAGACTTAGATGATAATAATAATGAAACATTTATTAAAAAATAATTATAATAGGTCAGGTTAATATTTTATTTATTTATTTATTTATAACATCATAAAATTCTGTTCTGTCCTTTCCGAAATACGCGAACGCTACGAAAAGATAAATCTCGTACATGCCGCCGGACGAGTTCATGAGCATGAGACGCTCTTATCTTGGGAACGTATTAATAGTTACTGCATTGACTACTACTACGATATGGCGCTGAAATCAGTGAGAAATGCTGGTCTCTCCTTCATCCAGACCTTTGGCGATCTGTCTATTAATCTGTGTCAATGTGCAACGTTTTGTGCACTATATGCGCTTTGAATTCCGGTGCAGCTAAATCGAGGGGATGACCACTCTCATCCTTCTCTCTGCCTATTAATCTGTGTTCCATTAGGGACCGGCTGTACCGCGCATGCGCGCTTTTGGCGCATGCGTGGCTAGGAGAGATCAGTAACGCACATATACGCAGTTTGGCGGGATCCTGAACGATGAGTATTATAGAAGCTCGAATATTATATATATATTATATATATATATATATATATAAATCATTTAAATATCTGTGATAACTAAGTAATATTATGCATTATTAATTTTTTATTATGATTTTTAATTAAGAAGAAATATGCAATTTTTTTTATAATTAATAGTGCGTGCAATTTTATTTTTTATAATTATTAAATACTGTAACAAATTATTTCGATTTTTATAATTTAACGAAAAAAATTTATAATTAAAAGATTTTTTATTTTATTTATGTATAAAGTGTTTTTATTTTATATCATCTTTTATCCTCTTTTTTTCTATTCTTTATTATAAGTTATATATATTAAATAATTAAATTTTAATATTTTGCAAATATATATGTATATATATTTCATTTTTTAATTTTGAAAATTTTTTAAAATAATTTTCATGTAGCGGCTGACGGTGCCTCTTTTTCCTAATACGAGATACTTCACTGTGGCCGCGTGCTTGCGCATGCGCGTCACAGCCGTCCCTATTGGAAAACTGCATCCAAATCGAAACGGAACCAATGATGTCGCTCGATTCAATCCTAACCTCCCGTGGAGCATCGGATGATCTTGCAGAAATCAAACGGCGAGATGATGATGCGACTGACGAATTAGGTTACATTTGTTCGAGGAACATCTCTTAGACATCGTCGAATTTATATCCAGAACGTCGACGTCACGAGCGGCCCCAAGGTGACAGCTGACAGGTGACAGGTGACAGTTCGTAAAAAATGGTCGTACCCACCGGGAAAAACGTCGAGGCGATGGACGTGGACGTGAATCCCGCCCCCGGACGCCCAGAGCGGTGACGGGGACGGCGCGGGCGAGCGCAAGGACAACCGACGTGCAGACCCTATGCGACATCCGCGAGCACACCCGGCAGATCGAGAAGGCCGTCCAGAACAAGACCGCGGTTCGTGCTGCGCGCCCTGCGCGCTTTTTGCCGAACACCCGTGTCTCGGCTGAACCCGGTCGTCCTGCGCGGCCTCGTGGCCGGCTTCTACACAGGTCAGGTCGGTCGCCGAGCGCGACGCTCTCCGCGCCTGGGTTGGAGGAGCCGATGGACGTGGACGAGAGTCAGACGGTCGTCCAGAGTTCCGCAGTTCCTCGTCGTCTCTCCTACCCGAGATCGACGCGTACGTTCACCTCCTGGTACTGATACGGCTGATCGACACCAGGAAGTACAACGAGGCGGTGCAGTGCTCGGAGCTGCTGGTGCAGAAGATCGCGGCGCAGAATCGCAGGACCATAGACCTGATCGCTGCCAAGTGCTACTTCTACCCTCCCGCGCTTACGAGCTGACGAATCAGCTGGACAGGATCCGCGGCTTCCTGCATTTACGTCTGCGCACCGCGACTCTGCGTAACGACTTCGAGGCCAGGCGGTGCTGATAAATTGTCTGCTGCGCAATTATCTGCATTACAATCTGTACGATCAGGCGGACAAGCTGGT